AATGGCCACCAATTTTCAGTAGATGTGCTTTCACCGTATAATACAATCCTTTGTAGGTGACACCAAATTAATTGCAATTGAATAACGCTTTTTTTCCACCTTCAAAAGTTTTTCATAACTTTGTAACATGATTCCATAAGGGCTTATTGGCTTCAACAGAAGGTTCTGTTGAACCTTCGACACTTCCAATTCCAACACCACTGGAGCTTATTTTGCTTTTAAAAAAACTGATGGAATGGAAGAAAAAAGTCTTAGCATTATCCAACCATATGCAAATAAATATACACTTTTGCACAGACTAAAACTCAATACCTAATCTAACCTATTCCAACTTCTTTATCTTGCATAAATTATAGGTTTCATGTAAATACCCCTTAAAATATCATGAATTCTCATTCCCTATTATGAATTGTTTTTATTCCATTACAATTAAGTGAATAACAACAACATGCATCCTTTTTTTTCTCAAAAAAATTCTTTTCATCATGCAATACCTAATTGTCTGAATAATTCATTAAACTTTTTTCAATTATAATAACTGTCTAATTGACTGCAAAAATTTTACAATTAGGTTAAATTGCAGAAAAAAATGGAGGTTAAATTATTGGGAATTCATGGTAGAAGGGCTAACATGCCAAATGCCAAACTATGAAGGATTAGGTCCACTGTCCACAAGCTGCCGATGACTAACATGATATAAAGCCTTATCTCTCACAAGGGTCGGAACCCGTCAAAGTTTAATGCCCTCGGTGGATGCAAAAATGGCGAAGACGAAAAAATTAAATGCTTGCATGGAAATGAAAAGAATGACGAGAGAGCGAAAGGCGGACATATCAAGCTTCAAATTGAGCATTTCACTGCTCGGTTGGACTCACTTTGTCACAGAAAAGACGAAGAGCCGAATAAATGTAATGTATCGGGCTTCACTCTCTCCGCTCGAACGGCTTGCCTAGTCGCATAAATGAAGGAGACCAGAGCATCGCCAAGTCGTGTAAACGAAGAAGACAAGAGAGACGGCTAGTCACGTACACAGAGAAGACAAGGAGAAAACACCTAGACCACATATGAGTGAATACGGGTCACGGGATATACGACAGGCGTTTTATTTGATTAGGGACAGTGGCGAATTCAGAAATTTTATTTTGGGGGGGGGGCTAAATTAAAATAGTTCAGTTTGTCGTCTCATTTGGAAGGTTAGAATATATTAAAATAGTTTCGTTTGTCGTCTCGTTACCGGAGCAAGGAGGAGCTATTAGAGCTTAGCAGACAAACATCTGTCACGGACAGTCTCGATTTGGGGGCAACAGAAAAGCAAAAATGAAAAAAAAACCGTGCTCGATTCACAAGTCGCGAGAGAGGCGCAAAGGAGAAAACGAATCATTGATGTTTTTCATGTGTTCAGAAAAAGATGTTGGCGACTTCTCTGGATTAATAAATAACTTAAAAAAAAATACTAAAATTAGAGCAAGTTTTCTCGTTGGCGAACCGGTTGCTTTGTTAATATTTTACCCCTCTCTTTCAATATTTTACCCCTCTCTCTTTCAATATTTTACCCCATTAGTCTTTCTCTCTCCATAGCTGAAGCATTGCATGGCCCGAGTAGAAGGTGGATTGAAAACTTGAAATGGAAAAATCCTATAATAAATAAAGTAAAGGCTAACAAGGGCTTGTACCATAATGGATGCTTAAGCATGGAAGCGGAGAGAGGAGCTGAATATACAAAGTATGGATTTGGTTGGGTGCACTGTCAGGAGAAATTTTTTAAGTGGGGGGGGGGGGGGCCCGGGGGGGGGGGGGGGCACGAGCACCCCTTCCCCCCCCCCATGATACGGGGAATTTTAAATGTTAAAATTTTGCAATGACACGCATGTCCATTTTAATTTAAATATTATTTTAATCCGACAAGGATCTACCGTATCCGACACAAGTCCCAGCCATGTCAAGCACATGTCCATATTCGACATTGTATTCCCCCTTATAAAAGAGTATCAGTGCACCATAGATTTCTTTGTACTTTCAATAACACAAAATAACCAGCTAGAACGAAGTAACATTTAAATGCCAATTGGAAATAATCTAAACAATGGAGGGATGCCACAAGAGCATGTGAGGTTAGAATGTGTGGATAATAGTTAGGGCTTATGACATGTAGGTAAGGGAAAAAAATAAGTAAAATTGGTATCACAAGTAAGTTCATGATACAACAACAACAAGCCTTGATCACACCATGTGGGGTCGACTATATGAATCCTTTTTTCCATTGTGTCCAGTTAAGAGTCAAATTCTCATCTAAATTTGACAAAAATGACATTTCTAATATTTTCTCACCAAGTCTTGTTAGGTCCACACATCCACATGAGAATCCTCATCTCTGCAACACTTAGCTTAATATTATGCTTCTCTTTTAATGGCCAACATTCTGCACCATAAAGCATTGTAGGTCTCACCACCATCTTATAGAATTTTCCCAAAAGTTAGAGAGGGACTTTTCTATCACACAAGAAGCCTAATGCATTCCTCCACTTCAACTATCCAACTTTAATTCTACTAAAATATCCACTTATATTTTACCATCACTTTGAACAATATACCCAAGATATCTAAAACTATACTCTATTAATGGCTTGATCACCCAAAGTCACAATCCCCTACTAGATCTATTATTACTAAAATTACACTCCATATATTCAGTTTGAGATATACTCAACAACAACAACAAGAACAACAAGTCTTTGTCCCACTACGTGAGGTTGGCTACATGAATCCTTTTTCGCCATTGTTTCTGGTTAAAAATCGAATTTTCATTTAAATCTAATAAAGAAAGATTATTACTAATATTTTATAACCAAGTCTTCTTAAGTCTACCTCTACCTTTCTTAAAATAAATCAAATCTAATACCTCAACTCAGTTTGAGATATACTCAAACGATAAAAATTTAAATTTAAAATTGGATATATATGTATGTGTGTGTGTGTGTGTGTATATATATTACTCAAAAGACTAAAATAAATGAAATAAGTAAAAGGCCTCAGATGAACTCCTCCTTACTGCATGCTAAATTAATTTTGTTTTTCATATAAGATAATTTTAATGATAATTAATGTTTGCTAAAAAAGTTAAACGCTGAGAAAATAGAATAAGATAAAGGGTTTAAAATAATACCAAGATGTGATAGGTTTTGGATTTATTATATAGAGGAATAGCAAAGAAATGATGATTAACTTCTAAAATAAAGGTTTAGAGTTCAAATGAAGGAATGTCTCAAAGAGTACAATGCATAAGGAGAATATTATGGAGACTTAGAGGAATTGTATAAAACTATAATTAAGCTACATTATGTGGTTTAGTATCAAACACTAAAGCAATCACTGATAGCCAACTTGAGAATGATAGAAATGATAATGTTAAGATGGATGTATTTTTAAACTAGGATTAATATATTGAGAAACGATCATATTAGAGAGAGCAAAGCAATATCAATTAAATAGACTTTGGTTTGTGCATGTATAATGAAGGGTGGATAACACACCAACAACAACAACAATAACATCAAGCCTTTATCATACTACGTTAAGTGGGCTACGTGAATCCTTTTTTTCTCAATTGTGCCATGTTAAGAGTCAAATTCTATTTAAATTTAATAAAAAAAAAAAAGAAAAGTAAGAGTCAAATTCTCATTTAAATTTAAATTTAATAACTTTGTTTAAATGTTTTTAAAAATATCAAAATCAGATATAAACTCAAACAAGTCAAAAAGAAAAAGGGTGATAGCATACTAATAGTTTTTATGTCAAGCTTTTAAATCATGCATTATGATAAGTTAGTATTTATTTGTCTTCTTATGCTAGTTTAGTCTTCATGGTTGTCAGCACTCCTATATGAAGGGTGCAGCACTCATATATGCAGGGTGCCATGTAGAAGGGGAGGCATATTACGAACTATAAATAAAAAGTATTACTCATCTTTCTCCTCAAGCGGTAAACACTATTTCCTACTCTTATAGATAGCCCCTTCTTGTTGGGTCAGGTATCCTTTTTCCTCCTTCATTCTCTCTTTCTATACTTTTAAGGAGTCCTCTCTATTTTGCTCACCTCTCTTTGATTATGTTGTCCGAATTTCTATTAAATCAGAAATAAGGATTTTGACTGTAAACAATTCAAACATAAAACACATCCGGTAAGTATTGGATGAGGATTTTGTTCAAATTGGTTACTCAAGAAATGACAAGGTATCAAGATTAGAAGATTTTATCACTCTGCAAAAGTTCAATTTATTTCATCTTAACAATTATATATCATACTCACCAGTCAACTTTCTAACTTAAAAACTTCTAATGAAGTTAACTGCTAATCATGCCATCCTTAATCTCTTAAAAATGGATGTCATTTTTTAAATCCCTTTCTCTGGTGACAAGTAATGCTCATCAGGGATTCAGTTGTGTAGCACAATAAACGAAGTTTGAAAATAAGATTACAGGTAATGGATGGATAAATAAACGCAGCTCAAGCAGAAAACAGAAGCAATAATGGTACTTAACCAGCATACCTAATTTTGTCTTTCATGGTAAATTAAATTCAATATTTTGTCTTTCCTGGTAAATTAATCTATGATAAGTGCTTAAAAAAATTCAATATTACACGTAATCACAAACAATATTAGAAGGCAAAACAGGCACTTTCTCTTCAATTTCATATTAGATTATAAAAAATGTAATTTTAAAATGATTTTAGCAAGAAGCCTTTATAGAGCTTGCAACTTCCCTCCCAAAAAAAATAAAACCATAACAAAGGACAGGAAAGGGATGACATAAAATCCATATTAAAATTAGAAAAAAAAAGATACTAACTGCCAGTGGAGGTAAACATGAGAAAAGCATGATAGTGCATGCTAGGGCAGCTACAATTCTAACATCATTAAATAGCATTGAAGCTATTTCATATTATCTTTATTCAGAAGACAAAAGCACCTCAAAAAAACATTTAAAGCAAAAACACAAACTTAGATCTTTTGCTCAAGTAGATAATAGTGTAAATTTCATTAGGATAACGAAAAGAGAGAGAGAAGGGGGCAAAAAAAACCAACCTGTGAAGAACTGAGGAAACTTGACGGGTAATATGACAGCTTCCTGCAATGCCTGTTTAGCACTTTCGAGGCCAGCAACATCATTCCACTTAATGTTCGGTTTTTCCCTTATGATTGCAGAAGTAAGCCCAGACCTGAGCTTAGCCTGCTCAGGATCCTCCCCTCCATCATCTCCCTCCTTAGGCTTTGTCTTGGCTTTCGTGGCCACCGCCGCGTCCCCGTTGGAAGCCAGACCAGAGCCCCCCTCATCCAGGACGGCGCGGATCTCCTCAGCGCGGCGGAGATACTCAGTGAACTTCTGGGTGATCGCCTCCTTAATCTTAGGGTTCTTCTCGTACTTGAGGTGCGTCTTGAAGTACTCGAGGGCATTCATGTA